CTTTGTGCAAAGCTCAGCCCGGGGCCTGAACAAAACTGCAGGCAGGGAATGGAGCAGGCAATTGTGTCCTGAAGGGAGAAGATCCATGGAATGAGAGAGTGCATGTGCAAAGACAGTGTCACACAGCAAATGTGTCCTTTCCACCAAGGGAAGGACATCCTGGGACAGCAGGAAGCATCGCATCCTTGGCATGAACCAAGGCACCCAGGGAGAAGCAAAACATGTGAAGGCAGCTCCAAACCTTCCCCACAACGGAGAGGTTTGGCAGAGACGTGTGGAGGCCATAAAGAAAGGCATAAGTTACTCAGCAGCATAACCTCTGACCCGAGGGAACAGCCCAGCTCAGAGAGAAAGCATGAAACATCTCATCAGCTTCCTTCCACAGGCAAACGCTCCTCACCTTCTCCCATACCCCCAAGTCTTACCTCTGGTTATCTAAGTCCATGGCCGCAGCCTGAATCTTCAGTCAGTGTCATCTCAGACTTACAAAAGAAGAAAAAAAAATGGGCACGTGTAGCTCTGGGCATATAGGAGCCATAGGGCAAGCAGTGAAGAGAGGAAGTGAAATGTTGCCACAGTCCAAGGGGCGACATTTGCTAGACCTTGTGCATGGTGGGATCTTGTGCTTCAGTGTTTGGAGGAACCTGGTTCCCCCAATTTTGTGGATCAGAGCTATGACTCCTTCCCAAACTCCATTGTGCTGTGAGAGTCAGGTTTGCTCTTCAGCCACAAGAGGATAGTGGCAGTGACCAGCAAGGATCAAAGTTTTTCCTAATTGATGTTCAATGCCTCCGAGGCAATCTGGATTCAGGTATCATTTGGGAACATGCAAGAATCAGCTGGTCTTACAGGCCAACTCAACCCAGGCTGTTCCAGACTGCTACCAAATCAGAATAGGCTCTGGAAAATTTTAGCTTGGACAGGCCCATTCAAACTGTGTGCTTTTCTTGATATTTCACAGATAAGAAGTGCTTCATTGCAGCTACCAGCAATCTGCAAAAACAGGACTACAGGCTGAGATGAGCCTGACAGAGGTCCCTTTCCATCATTCAAAAGGATAAGAGGAACCACTTCCAGGCTGCAAATCAGCACAGTAGCCAACAGCAACAATGCAGAACTCTGGCCTGGGCATTCGACCAGTACCTGGATCAAAATCTCTGGGGCTCCCACTGTAAAGGTTGGAGATAGGAGTGTTCAGAATAGCAGGTTGCATTGCCCTGCCGCGCTCTCCGTTGGGAAGCAGGGAAGGAGATGCGAGGGGTGGCTCAGAGATGCAGCATGGTGAGGCCTTGTGGGTGAGGCCATGTGTCCCCAGGACTAATTCAAGTGTCAAAATCGTAACCATCACAACAATGATAAAGAAAACTGATCCAAACACAACCCCCCACCCTACCCCATTCCCCAAAGCAAACCCAGTAATGACAACACCCAGCTTGCACCGTGAGGTAGCTAAACCAGATCAACACCCAAGAACCACTCTCCTGCATGGGAAATACCAACCCATGCAGGCAGAGACACAAACACACACACAGACTCATGGGACCACACTTGAGCCCTGCTTCAAAGACCTCCCGTTCTGACCTGCTTGAAGATGTGCTATGGTACTTGCTTTCTCCAGGTACAAGGTGAGAAACCAGCCTTGACTGGCTGGTTCCCCATTGGCTACAGTGGAAGGAGAGGCAGAGCCTCCTTTCATTTTCTCCAGGTTTGGAAGGCCGGCTGACATGGTACTGGGAATAAAAGTGTAACAGATGCTTGGCCTTTCCTAGGATGGCCCCTCACTCCCATGGGAGATTAAGCAAGCATCTGCAGCCTGCATACAGGAAGAAACTTGCAGTAAAACCAAACTGGGATACCAAAGTGGGAGGAGTAGCTGCTACCCCAGAGGGCTGTGCTGCCATCCAGAGGAATCTGGTCAGACTGGACAACTGGGCAGAGAGAAACATCATGAAGTTCAGCAAGGCCAAGTGCCAGGTCCTGCACCTGGGGAGGAATAACCCCAGACACCAGTACAGGCTGGGGACCGACCTTCTGGAGAGCAGCTCTGCAGAGAGGGACCTGGGCGTTGTGGTGGAAGTATTGTGTCCAGTTCTGGGCTCCACAGGACAAGAGGGATGTGGAGCTGCTGGAGAGAGTCCAGCGCAGGGCTACAAGGATGATCAGGGGCCTGGAACATCTGCCTTATGAGGAGAGGCTGAGGGAGCTGGGCCTGTTCAGCTGGAGAAGAGAAGGCTGAGAGGGCACCTGATCAGTGAATATAAATACCTTAAGTGAGGGAGCGAAGAGGATGGGGTCTGCCTCTCTTCATTGGTGGCCAGTGACAAGACAAGAGGGAACAGCCACAAACTGAAGCACCAAAAGTGCCAAAGGAAATTCAGGAAAAATTTCTTGACAGTGAGGGTGACAGAGCACTGGAACAGGCTGCCCAGAGAGGTTGTGGAGTCTCCTTCTCTGGAGATCTTCAAACCCACTTGGACGCAGCCCTGTGCCACGTGCTCTAGGTGACCCTGCATGTGCAGGGGGGTTGGACTAGATGACCTCGAGAGGTCCCTTCCAAAGTCAAGGATTCTATAAAAGCCAGGGAAGGTCTGAACGAAAAACCCCCTGCAGCAGGTCCCTTCACCAACTTCAAGCAGGAAGCAACATTGAGAGGTTTTCAATCAGGCAGTAGCAGGTCTGAGAGTAGACATTAACACATCATGGTCTACCTGCACAAGTCCTGGCTACAGGCAGTCTCACACTCACACACACACACACAAACACACACACCGCCAGCCAAATGAAAGTTGAATAGGCTGAGCAAAGAGCAGAGAAACCCTCTCCAAGATGCTCTGTGCCCTTGGAGGGGAACATCTCCTCGCTCCTGCTCAGCCATCTCACATCTGTGCGTTATTCTGGTGGTCGCAGTACCCTGTGCCTTTTTGTTTGTCCTGCTCCCGGTTCCAGCAGCGTACCCAAACTCCAAAGTAGCTGTTCTTTCTGCCGCCTCCCTGGGTGCACCAGCATCACTTTTCCATCTGCTGGTGGCAGGAGAGATCCTGGAGCTTGCACTCAAGAACTTCAGCCTCTACGACATTAGGATCCCTCTGGCATCCATCCCTGTGTGGTGCCAGAGCCAGCTCCAGGTGCTGGAGGCTCCAGGGGCTCTCCTCACCTCCAAAGCAGCCTTCAGTTCCAGGCTGAGCAGAGCTTGGCAATTATCAAGAGAAGGCTGTTCACTGTCCTTGTCAGGATCATGACTAGAAACAAGCCATCATGCCTTCCATCAGGATGCGGCAGCGGGATTTTTTTTTTTTTCCCTAAAAGACAAATAAATCCATCAAATAAATAGAGATGCTCCTGTGTTTTGGGATGCAGAAGAATTCCCACTTTCCATCTGGAATGGTTTTGAGGAGTCCTGGTGGCAAAAAGACTGGATCTGGTCTTCAAGTAAGCATCCTCGGAGAAAGCAGGGATAAAATGGTCTATGTTTTTTTAAAAAGCAATTGGGCAGGTCCTGGAGATCCCAGTTTGGCACTGGTGGGATTACATGGAGAAATCCTTAAATCAGAGTTCAAATACTGCTTCTTCCGTGACAAAATGGAAGGAAGGACATGAGAGTGCCTTTCCCAGGGTCTCCTCTGCTGTTTCATGATAAGCCCTGTCTGATACCACACAGGATGGAGGGGATGATCCAGTGGGTAATGAAAGTGCCAGTGTGAGAGGGCCTTGCTGGCCCCTTGAGCAGGTGGAAGGGAGAACAGTGGTGGCATCTTCTGGGAAACAAACTCCTGCAAAGAATCTCCCACCTCTTGCGGAAGCTGAACTGTGTGAGATCATTTGCAGGGGATGCAGAACCCACACGTTTGTCTTTCAAGCATAGGGTGAATGGGTGCAAGACCTGCATGCAATCCCTTCCTGTGCTTCAAGCACAGATGACTCGCACCTATCCTCCAGCTAAACCCATGCCTTGCTGAGCATCCTCCAGCTCCAGCCTCTGCTGGAGCCCAGGCTCACATGTCCATGCATGGCTCCAATCCTGCCTCCTGGCCTCTGCTCTCGAGGAGCTAATAGGCCAAGTCCAAGCTAGTGTCCTCCCTGGAGCGGGTCTCAGAGAAGAGCCTGGAGAAAAGTCACCGTCCAGGCTTTGCTTCTTCACTCAGTAACTTTCTTTTTTTTTGCTTATATTTCCAAACTCCAAGGGGATTCAAATGTTTCAGGGACCACAAAATGCTTGCTAATACCCAAGGTGCTGAGTCTTTCCCACTGCAGCATGGAGCAGACACATGGGGAAGAGCTCAAGAGCAATGGTTCAGCTAAGTTTATGATTAGAATGTGGACATTGTGAAGGAATGTGCAGCAAACTGGTCTTGAAGTTGTCCAGGGAAGATATTCCCAGGCTTAAGTTACTCCTTGTGTCCATGGTTAGGGCACAGCAAAGCAGCTGAGTGAAGTAAACCAAATGCACATCTCCAACCATTAAGGCGAATGGATGCACCTGGATACCCTTAGGCAGACCTGCTACCACACTGAGTTACTCTCCCTTACACTCTGCCCACTCCAAGCTGTTGTCCTGGCCAGCAAAACCCATCGGCCTTGAGACTGAGGTGGAAACAGACTGCAGGAACCAGCTCTGGAGCCCACAGCGACTGAAGGAGCCCTGACAACGGCAGTACGAACCCATTTGGAGCAGAAGGGAAACCAATGTCTCCAAGACGGAGCCAAGGACCTCAGCCTGGAATCCGACACCCCGGAATCCCATCAAATGTTATCGCAGGGTGAGCAAGAAGGGAGCTGAAGCATTTCCTGGTCACAGGAAAACCATCAGGATGCTGCAGCTGGAGGAAAAGGGGAGATGACAATGCCTCACCAAGCTGATTCCTCATGGAAGCTGGCAGTGCTCAAAATACCAGATGGGACATCAACCATCATGTGGGATCAGGCACAAAGAAATTCCCATCACTGGGCTGAACTGCTGAACTCTTGCAGATATTAAGGTCCTAGTAGTGAGGTAGAGGGACTAAGACCTTTGCCCTCCTGTCACTTTTTCCAGTCTTTTTGCAGCTCCTAGATGGATCCAGTAGGTAACCTCCTCCCACTCCAGAGCTTCACTGTCAAGTCACTGAGAAACAAAGGTGAGAGGGATGGAGTAAATGAGGGGCAAACGCTGCAGGAAGGCACTGCTGGAGAAACACGCGCTCCACCCCCAGCCCACAGCAGCATGCAGCCCCCCAAAAAAGACTTTTCTAGACTACTTTCTCTTGGCAGGAGGTTGCCCAACCCATGCTGGGGAGCAGGCAGGCCCAGGGGGGTTCAGCCTCTAGAGGAGGCTACCGGCAGCAGTTGTGATAAAGTAATAAAGACATTATGATCTACGGGGACCCCCAAGCTGCCTCTCCTGGTAGGATTCACTGCAGGGAAGGGTTGAGCTTTGCCTCCCTGAGGCACGGGGTGGTCTGGGGGCAGCTGCCAACTCCTGTCCTGTCACGCATGCACGGGGGCAGGCAGGCTACGGCTCCCACAGACTGCGCCAGGAGATACGGGCACTGGGAAAAACAAAACCAAAGCCAACAAAAACAGGAATGTGGCTGGGGTAAAGGGGTAAGTCACTTCTAGCAAAAAAAAAAATTATCAAGTGGAGAAAAAACGCAAAATAGTTTCATACCGTTAAGAAGCAGCTCAGACCAGAGAGAAATAGAGAGAGGAGCTAAAGCAAGCAGCAGAGAGAAACACAGAGGAAGAAAGAGATGGACAGAGAGAGAAAAGTAAGATAGAAAAAGAGTGCATGAGCAAGAGAGAGACAGAAAGAGCAGGAGGGTCAAGGCAGACTAGTAGCACGGCCCTTTATGGCAAGGACGCGTCGTGGAAGGCAAGGGGTGAGCCCAGGCACGTAATTCCATAACTTTACCCGGCAGTCACTGTCGCACAGATGGAAGGTGTTTGGGGGGAAAGGGAGGGAAGGGAGCAGAGAGAGAGAGAGAGAGACACAGAGAAAAAGGAAGGGAGAAAAGGGACATGGTTGAAAAGAAGGTATCAGAGTCTTGCTGCTGGAGAACTCCCCAAGAGCAGCAGGGGATGACCAGCCCCCACGGAAGAGGAGTCATTGCGTTAGGGACAACTACAGCATCACCAGAACGTGGGGCAGGGGACAGCTGAGGGCAGAGTGCTTGGCACAGCAGCAGGAGCTCTGCTCAGCCAGCCTTGCCATGGGGCAGGCTAACATCAGCAAGATGAGGTGCAGGAGTGTGGGGGCTAGAAAACTGCAGGGAACCCCCTCTTCCTTCCCTCCTTGTCCCACTTCTCCTCTGTTCTCAGTGCAAACCCACCCCAGCCCAGGGATGTCACCTCCACCCAGGGGTCTCCCCCTCCCAGGGTGCTCTGGGGACCAGAAAGCCTGAGGCTCACCTGGAGGCAGTAAAGATGTGCTTTGAGTTGGTGCAGATGGCATTGATGGGGCTGTCATGCCCTTTGATCTCCCCAACGGGGGTGAAGGTGTCCACGTTCCAGACTTTGATCATGCCTCCACGGCAGGCACTCAGCACCATGGGGCGGCCAGGGATGAAGGCTAGGGCACAGACCCAATCTTTGTGTGCATTGGGGATTTGCTGTAGGCAGGGGGACAGAAACCATGAGCATCCTTAAAGCAACAATTTAATCTGCAGCACACATTCAAGAGCTTCTTAAATGCAAGCAGGAGTGCTCAGATCACTGCTGCCTGCCATGTCCCCGTCCATCTGGATGCTGGGGATGGCATTGCAAAGTTAAGAGGCCAAGGGGCTCAATCCAAGACTTGGAGCTTGGTTTGTCTCTTGGGCAGGAGGCAACAATCTTGTCTTCAGAGAGGAACCAGGGACCCAGAACAGCACTTCTTGCCACAGCCAACGTGCCAGGGGAAACTGAAAACCCTGGGTGCCATTTGGGGGTACTGAGCCATCCTGCACACTTTCCACAGCAGTGGGGCTTGCTAGAGTTCAAGGAATAGAGGCACCCTTTCAGGTTAGCTTAGTGCAGGACACTGATACCAGGTCTCTGAACCTCTCCTTAGGCCCTCTGCAGCAATGCTCCTCCACCCCACATCACCCTGAGGACCTGCTCCATTCACTCCCCTTCAGACCTGGATAAGCTCCTGCTGCTCCAGATCCCACTTCTTTATGCCGTTGTCCCTGGAGCCGCTGAAGAGGATGTCTCCCTGGATGGCCAGGCACTCGATGCCGTCGTAGTGAGGGGGTTCGAAGTTGTGAGTGGGGCCAATATTGCCCACCATGCCCTCCGTGATCTCAAAGACCTGGGGGAAAGCAGTTGGTGAGAGACCTCAGATGGGAATGGGGCTCACCTGCTCTTGCACAACTAGCCATCAGCCTCTGTTTCTAGGTTAACTGCAGCTTTTTTGTGGGAGAGGCAAAGGTCTAACTAAGCATTCTGCCACAACCAGGGGAATCAGCCACCAAAGACAGCTCTCATTCCACAGCGTTTTACCCATGGGGAATTTTTACACACCATCATGAGCCAAGTTAACAGCTTGCAGCTGTCAGAAGAAGGGGATACTGGTTTTCTTCCCTGCTCATCATTTCTCTCGCAGAAAAAGAAAAGGGAGGGAGGAAGCTTTTACTGTGTTGGTGCTGTGAATAGGCAGGCCCAAGGCCTCTTTATCTGTGATAAAAATTACCCAGGACAGGGCAAGCTGCTAATCTGTGGCAGCCACAGCAAGCAAATGCCACCCACAGAGCCCGAGGTTTGACAGGGATGCAAACTCCTGCCTCCAAAACTTCATTTGTATCAGGGGCAAAGCAAAAGGCAAGATTAGGGAGGAGCAGATGCTCAAAAAGCCACAGACAGGGGGAAAACAGGAATCTGGGCGAGGAGGAGAGTATAGACTTTGAGCATTGCTGAGCTCCCCTATGGACATTGGGAGGGGGAACTAGGTAAGAGTACCTTGACGTAGTGATCTTTGGAGCCTGTGACCACCAGGTCGTGGTTGCTTGCAGTCTGGTTTACCGTGAGACACATCACGGGCCCGATGTGGCCACTTAGCTTCCCGATCGGTTGTAACCTTAGAGCAAGAGCATAGGGTCAGCTCAGCCTTCCCTGGGCACCAAACCTCCTCCAAGAGGCTCTCCTAGCTGCAGACCCCCACATGGTGCCCCTCTGATAGGGAATGGTACCCAGGAGGAAGATGAGCTGGGACAACCACTTCCTAGTGATGCCAGGGGTAGAGCAGCCCCCTTGGACACATCAGCAGCCTTTGCAGAGCCCAGGCAGAAGCCAAAGCTCAGCAACCTGGTGCCTACCTGGCAGGGAGGAGGGAAACAGCACAACCAGTGAGATCCTGCCCCTTTTCTGTATTTTTCCCCTTTTCTGTCTAAATCTCCACCTTAGACAGCCTCTCTGCCGCTTCGTCTATTCGGGTCTAAAAGCAAGAGTTCCCCAACAGTCCCTGGCAAACCCCACTACTAAAAGGGCTTTGACGTTCGCTGGGGAAGGGGATGGGCAGGGTGTCATTTCAGGCCCTCCTGAACAGGGTCTGATGAGCGTCAGAAAGCTGCCTGGTCCACCAGCCCTCACCTGCTCAGCTCCCAGATGCGGACGGAGTTGCCAGTGGCTGCGTAGAGCGTGGTGCCGGTGGGGTTGAGTGCGATCTGGTTGATCTGGTGCTCGCCCTGCACACTGGTGACAGTGCGAGTGCTGGTCCCCGCACATGCATCCCCGGAGATCACCTGGCCAGAAGATCTATGGAAGAGAGAGATCGAGGAGGGAGGATAAGTGGAGAGCTGCAAAGATCAGAACCGCAGAGGCCTTGCTCTGTAACTGGATGGGACTGCTGGGCTCCAGCTTGGCACAGGTAGATCCCATCTCTGGAAAAGCCTTTGGATATCACCTGCTGCAAAACCACCCTGGGATCAGCCAGATCTTTGTCTCCCAAGCCACTGTTCTCCCTGGAAAGTGGAATCATGCACTTCGAGTGTGTGTATGATATGGAGCATCCTGCTCTGCCCCCTCTTTCCATTTTGGGCTGCTCTTTTCTCCTCCCATTTCCCTTTCCTCCATGTAGGAAGAGGAAGAGCTGGCTGGCAGGTAGCACAAGGAGGCAGAGGTATCAGGCTTCACCATCATGGGTGAGCTGGGAGGGGGAAGCACCTTCAGACCAATGCAGATGGGATGAGGTTGGATGGAGAAAGTATCTCTGTGCTGGAGTGAGTCTTAGGGAGCTCTCTCTCTCTCTGCTAACCTTTGAGCTCCGCTTTGGTTTGGCAGACAGTAGCTATAGCCTGTCCCTCGCTCCTTTCCAGTTCTCAAACTCATCTTTAAAGATCTGAGCTCCGACTTTGGACTGCCAGACACAAGCCCAGAACATCTGTCTGCTACCTGCCAAATCCCTTCAAGGTTCTTTCCCCTGGGCCCTCACTGCAGAGTACTCCCAGGTCTCCCCCAACCTTTCTACTTCCCTTAGGCTGCAGCACTGCATTTGCTGCAAACTGATATTAAAGTTGCTGGTTTGGGGCTTTGCCTCTAGCACTTGAGGCCCCAACAACTCCTGGTATTGACTTCTGCAAAGCCAGAGATGCTCCCAGTTCCACAGTCCCTCAAGGTCACTCCCGCCTGATACATACGTGAGGGTGCGGATGCACCGAGCCGAGTCCCGGATGTCCCACACTTTGATGTATGAGGTAGACACGGTGAACACCAGCCCCGTGTGGCTGCAGTACTTGATGGAAACCACATTGTTCGGGTGACCCTTGAGGGAAGCAATTTCCTGGCCCGTCACCAGGTTCCACATCTTGCAGCTCCGGTCTGCGGGAGAAGGAATGTGCCCAAGAGCATCAGACTAGAGGAAATCTCTCACTGGCTCTGGGGGCTTAGGGGTTTCCCCTGTCACAAGGGGAAATGAGCTGGCCAGCCCTGGCACCAGCATAGTGCAGGGGCAGGCTCAATACAGAGGACAGGACAGAGGTCCAGGAAGAACCATCCCCCCTGGTGCCAGGCATTTCATGCATATTCCCCCTTGCCAGCAACTCCCGCGTCCTCTCTATGTGTCACACACCTTTAGACCCAGTGAAAAGCAACTCGTCGGTGGCATCCAGACAAAGCACAGGTTTGGTGTGTCCTTCTGCCATGGAGACACACTGCAGTGGGGCTGTCCGGGCATTCTTGGTGCCACCCACTGGATTAATGATGCCCCTTGCATGGGAAAGAGAGAACAAGAATGTTGGGGTCTGTGTGTGGACAGGCACCAAGCTACAACGGCCCAGACACATGGGAGGACAAGAACTGCCTCATCCTGAGCATCTCCCACAAGCTGGCCAAGGGATGGGCCCCTCTATCTGAGCTAGACGTGCCCGTACAAACCTCTGCAGAGACCCTTGTGCCTGTCCATGACCATCCCCATCGACCTATGCTTAATGTCTCTGTCCCCAGGAATGAATCCATAAGGGAGATCTAGCCAGTGGTCTCTGTTCTACTGCTCAGACTGTCCTGCCCCACTGGCACAGACCCAAGGAACAGGCAGACCCAGCTCATCTGCTGTCAGATAAGACGGGGGCAAATGGGACCCTGCACCTTGTCCAGCCTAGGGCTCTGCTCATGAATGTTTCAGGAAATCAACATCCAGAATGCCAGTTCCTTGGAGGCTGGAGACCCCAGCCCACAGTTTGCGAGCCACAGACCCTGCTGCAAGACCACAAGGGTGAAACAGAACAGCAGTAGCTTTTTGCCTGCAGCATCTAGGTTACAATGGCCATGGGAGCTCTGTTACCTACCACTGGCTCTAAGCAGAAGGTAAATCCCTGCATCTCTGCCAAAACTTTTTTTTTTCTTTCTCAAAACATGTAACTGCATGATACAGCCTCAGGATACAGAGCACCTGCCAATTCCCTCAACATCGGCAGTGCTTGGAGCACTGGGCTCTGACCATTCCACTCTCTCTGTCCCCAGGGGATGTGTGTGGCCACTAAAAGCTCTTCCCAGCTGAGATGCCAAAGCACAGCCTCAATCTGCAAGCAGGGCCCTGAGCTGTGCTATTCTTTTCCTACATGTAGGGAATTTTAGGGAAACTGAGCCACAGGGCTGGAGAAGGGCTTGCACATGGCCATGCATTAGTTGGGAGGACAGAGCCAACCTTGGCTGCTTAATTTGGGCTTGGAAGTTGTGCATATGCTCTTTCTATCTCAGTTACCAAATGCACTGACAAACACAAATTAAATGGTTCTGGCCATGCATTAGTTGGGAGGACAGACCCAACCTTGGCTCCTTAATTTGGGCTTGGAAGTTGCACGCATATGCTCTTTCTTTCTCAGTTACCAAATGCACCGACAAACACAAATTAAATGGTCCTACCCTGACTCCTAATGTTTAATCCAATCAGGAGGTCCTGAGGGCTGACATGGGGTGAAATATTATCAGTGGGTGCTGATTTGCTGCCCAACTGCAAACAAGCTTTGGGGCCCAGCACGCACCAGCACGGCCATGTAGCTGGTACTATCCCCGAGGAGTCACTAATCCAGCTCAAGATACAGGCAAGGGGACACCGAGGAGCTAAAGGGTTTATATTCCTTGGATGGTGAAGAGGTGGCTCTGCTGGTAAGTAACTTCAGCAGGTGGAATGGTACAGGGTGACAAGCCCCATGCCACCTTCACCCCCAAGGCCAAGCTCTGGGCTGCAGACTGACTCAAGAAAAATTCTCTCTGCAAGTTGAGGAAAGAGATTTACTCTTCTTCACCCCAGCACTGGGAAAGCACATCCAAACATGGGGACGACTTGGAAGATGCTTGCAAGAAGGACACACTGATAGTGCCCCAATGTTGCTTGAGCCACTCCAGTGCCCCAACATCACACCATCCTATCAGAGAGCTGGGGGATGGATGGGACACCGAAATTGCTGAAATTGCACTGCTGAGAGCCCACCAGAGGTGGGGTGGAACGCGTGATCACCTCCATCCAGTCCTGGGAGATGGGGCAGAGCAGCAAGGTGCAAGTGGAGCATGCAGGTACCAGGGAGAGCAGAATCATGAGAAAAGAGAGGAGGAGGAAGAGAGGAAGGAGTGATAATAAATAGAAAGTTGTCTATACCTCAGCACCTCCGAGACAGAGGAATCGCTGTCATCAGACCTAGGGGCAGAAAATTAGCAGGATTACGGGAGAGAAAACCCAGAATAGAAGAGGCAGAGGAGGAGTCAGAGATGGAGGGTTGTTATTGCATCCAAGCCAGTGTGTGACAGAAACGGAGAAAGAGAGAGAGAAACAGAGAGAAGTACACGTGGAAAATCAGGGGAGAGGGCAAAGGAGCAGGAGGGGACATGAGGATCAAATGGCAGATCTCTGTCGGGCGCATCACTGCTGCTAGGTTTGCTCTAAGTCAGGCGTCAAATTTGTGAACAAGTGACCAACCTGCCACAGGGGGCAATTGGAGGAGCATTTGTGAATTTGTGCAAGTTCATGAGGTTCTTGTGAGCCCCAAATCCTGCCTCACCCCAGCCCATCCTGCTCCGCAGTCCTTCCCAGCAGCCCAAGACTGGCAGCACCACTAAGCACGGCTTAGCAAGAGCCCAAGCCTGCGAGCTCCAGTGAGCAGCCAGTTTTGAGGGAATGCACACCAGGTCACCACAGGACAGGGGCAAAGAGAGGGGCATCTGCTCCCTTGCAGAGAGCAGCAGTGAAGGAAGATGGTGACAGGAGTCTGGCTGGAGCCATCTCAGCTCCTGTGCTTCCACACCCTGTAGTGGGACCTGATATTTGCTGTTTGCTGATACAGCATTGATCCCCCTCACTCACACCAGCCCACTCCAACAGGACTTACTTGTCCAAGGCAGACCCCTGGCTCTGGTTGCTTGTCAGACGAGAGAAAACATTGCGATCATTGCGTGGACGGGTAGGTGGGGATGAAGGAGGTGTGAAACCAACATCTGGAGGCCTGAGCCAGGAAGGATTAAACAGAAATGTGACATGAAGTACTCAGTTGTCAGATGCTTGAACCCATCTTGCCCATATTGGTACACTAGAGCCATGCCGAACCGCAACAGCCAGTGCAATAAGCATCTCCCCACTTGTCTAAGCCTCCTCATGGCAAAAGTTCCCAGCTCACCTGGCAGGTTGTCCACGGTCATAGGATTTCCTCCTTGTCAGAGGTGAAGTGTCTGAGCCACGAGATTGCCTGGGACTGGAGCAGAGCAAAGCATGATAAGTGCACTGTTCAGAGCTGAGTCCCTTTCTGCTGAA